TTTCCCCCCCCCCCCCCTCCCTTTTCTGTTCAAATTCCAGTAATCTGTTTATTGATTACGCCACTCATGTAACAGTTGATTTCGAGTTTCATGTGCATTGCCTCCTCTTTGAAATTTGGTTACTTATTTTTGCATGGTCATCCTATTCCGATTTATCTGCCGATGCTTTCAAATGTAATCATATTTTACCAAGGTAAAACAGGTACTGAACTGTGGTTTTTATCATTTGATACTGATTAAACTTTTTCTACTGCATATTCTGTGAAATACCTTCTTGTTTACATCAAATCCGATCCGACGCCGTTATTATATATCGATAACACCTTAAGAAATATTCGGTGTTGGTCTCTGTTTTTGACTCCTGACCATCAAAATTCCCACGGTGTTTTATTGCTTGTTTAGTGTACTGTTATGCGGTGTTTCTCCTCTTTCATTGACCTCCAGTTATTTTTTTTCTTAATCTTGGACCACCATCGAGCACCGTGTAGCAAACAAGACTTGTTTTCAATGATTCGTCTTCTTTGGCTAATACATCATACTTCATATAGCTCGGTTAAAATACGGGAAGGCGCAGATATTACTTACAAAAAATGGCAATAATAAATCAATAAACTTGAAGGAATATAGATGTCTACTGTTTTCGGTGGGGTGTTTAGCTCAGATGTGCCGTTGATTGGGAGGTGTGGGTGGATGGCCATGGGAGACAATATCTTCACAATTTTTTCTTGCGCACACAGGACTGGATTGTGAATGTGCATGCCCACTGCTTCCGCTGTGGCCAGGACGCGATGTTTAATCCGCTTAGGTATAGGGGACGAAACTCTCTGGTTAGGTCAATTAAATGACCTGACTCGACAAGGTGTGAAGAGATTACGCTCGTAATTGACTTTGTCACCACAGTGTTCAACCAAGCCAGACGATGCTCACGAACTCTCTGGGTCAAGCATCTGCTCGTGCGACCGATATAAATTGTCTCACAGGAACAAGTGAAGAAATCAGAATAAGATCGCAGAAACAGGAACTTCATCTGCAGCCTGAGGGCCGGTCTGGATGCAAATGTGACATGCAGTTTCGCTGCATGGAAAGTTTGACTGATCCCTGTTGTCAACGTTCGAGTAACTATTTCCGTCATACTGTCACCTTTAAATAGCAGTTTTATGTACACTATTTTCCTTTCTACTCCAACAATGCCCCTCCCCCCCCCGGTTTGTCTGGCGTTTTAATATGCTGTCCACAAATCAATCCGGGTATCCATTTTGTTAGAAGACTTGACGCATGAATTCTAATTCGTTCTGAACTGTATCAGCCAAACCGATTGTTTGCACTCTGTTAGCGAGACATTAAATCAAGTTTCGCTTTCGTTTGAGAGCAAGGAAACTTTGAAAGTGAGTGTACTAACCTGGCCACGTGCTTTTTCTATGCACTGAGCGTTGGATAGAATCCTCTTCACGGCGTTTGAGACAAACATCGAAAATGCGATCTGGTTATCAGTTTCCTGCTCTAGAGTAAACTTAATATTTGGATGCGCGCAGTTGAATGTTGCCAGTAGCTCATTGGGATTACTATCCTCGTCCAAGAAACACAATATGTCGTCGACATATCTTTTGTATGGCTTGCATTTTTTGATGGAAGCTTTCAGGGCGTTGTTCTTTAACATAGCATTGAAGACGTCCGCAAACAATGGGCCTAATGGGGAGCCCATTACAGTGTCGTCATTCTGACGATAAATAGCACCGTTGAATTTGAATCGGACGGTATGTGCAAAAATAAAGTAACTGCTTTAAGTCCTCAGTCGGGATACCGATATTGACTTTATTCATTTGGATGCACTCCGCTCGTTCGATCGTTTCTGTGATAAGAACATTAGTGAATAGCGAAGTTACATCGAGGGAAAGCATTCGTGATCCGGTTACATTGTTCGAGATTCGCTCGCCAAGTAAGGTCTAGCTACCCAAGGTGCAAAGTTTGTTCTATTTATCTTTTGCTTCCCTAAGAGCTTTTTGCGTGGTGTCGTATTTCGCATTATAAGCAGTGGTTGTCCTAGCATTCAGCAAGCCAACAAGGGTTGGTGAAATCGATCTTTGTTTTGATAGATGATTGGAGTCGAGTGCGTATTGAGTTCTTCGGCTTACGTTTGAACCCTGGTGCGATTGGACGGAGCTCCATTTAGATGACCGATTAGCATCTCTAGCTCACATGGTACTGCAAACATCGGTTTCCGACGGCTTTCATGCGGTCGTTTACCAGGCGAAGGCATACTATGGTTCGGTGTATGGATCCCCGCTTGTGGTAGCTGATTGAAGTGTCGTCGATTTATGTCTCTTACAGAGCGGTATGAGGTGTTTTTCATGTAAACCAATCTCGTTTCTTGTGCGAGAAGTGGGTGCTTGATAAGAACGATCGATGGTCTGTTAAAATCCGATCTAGTCGATCTCCGTCCGGTTAGTTTCAATTGCACCTGGGCCACCTAGGCGCCGCCAATTACCATGATGTCCCCTGAGCGTTCATTTTGAGGCAGTCAAATCATCTTTTAGTTCAATTGAATAGCGATTAATCACGTGGGCACGGATACAACGATTGGACTGTCACAGTTCGTTCTGTTATTGTTGATCCGCACTGAACCATCGAGGCGCACAGTCCACTACTCATTGGGATTCAGTGGTGTAAAAAGTACTCAGCCTTTGCACTTAGCGTAATTATAATGCGGACAATAGCCCGAGCGTTAGACGCCAAATCGCATGACACACTGAGAATAAATCAAGAAAATAATGTTAGATTGTTAAGGGCAAAGCTTGGTGGCGTCCAACCATCTGACCTTACCAAACAGAGCGTTCTCTGGCTTTTACTCGTTGATCTTTCAGGCACGATTGGACCTGCGGTTAACGGAAGCCCCAAGACCATTTAAAGGTGCAGTCTAGTGGTAGACCAAATAGAACGTAGGATTTTTCTAGGCAGATGTGAGAACGTCACTGGGCGATATAACATTCGAGTGTATACCAAATCAATTTTTGGGCCAGATGAACAAAAACAGTGGATTTCGTCGGTTCTCTTCATGCTATTTCACATAAAACTGGCCTGATAGAGCTGCCTGGTTCCGCTCTTGATATGTGGTCAAATAATCATTCTGATTGTACTAGTAAGTGAAGATCCAGAGAATTTGCAAGCTCTTCTGATTAGTCTAAGTGCCAGCGTAGCGTCTGCGTTTTGCACCTTCCAAATGTAAAATGTTACTATAAAACTGGGGTAGTCCAGCACTCAGCCTCACTCTAATTGGAGAAGTGATAGAGCAAGCGGACAAATTTTGTTTTACACATGTCACCAAATAGGGTGTCACGGAGCGATATTTGCCGAAGCGCGTAGTGGGTGGAATAAAGCCAAGGGTGGTCGAAATGAGACCTGGCACGAATGTATGAAAACCCTAACCCCGACACTCGTTAGGCTCCTTCGATGGGGGCCACTAGATGATGGTAACCGGTGTTTAGAGAAACTGAGTGTCGTAAATATTGGCCTTCATGCATCTTAATTGCTTGGCAACCTTAGTCCACTGAAACTCTGGCGCACGATGGATCTCCTCAACCTCGGTTGCTCTGATGGACGCTCGCAAAGCCATTCCATCGGATTGAAGATACGACAACGCGCACAAATCCCTTAATCGCCAGCTCATCAAGAGTCTGAAGGATGACCGCGAGAAGTGGTGGGTAGGAAAGTGTAGAGAGGTCGAGAAGGCTGCGGCCATTGGTAATAGTCGCAATCTTTTTCGTACAGGACCAAGGAAAGCAGAAAG